GTTTATATTCTATATATTACTGACTGTAATTTTGTCTGTCTATTTGTATGTTGGTCTCTCTGTCAGGAAATTCTGCAGCAATAGAGAAATCACCTCACAGTCCAATGTGGATTGAGGATAATGCTAGTAGTGAGCGGGGTGTGTATCGAACTGGTCGTAGCTTTGATAATATCGGTTGGCCCCTTTATATAGTCAAGGAAGCGTGTCATGCCTGCGACACCAAAGTTGTTCCACTTGGAATTAGTAAAGAAATCGTCGAAGCTCCAGCATAATTTCTCTTGTGGAAAATGAAAAAATTACGTCAGTCTGTCCATCAATGCAGTTCTCCTAAGCCTACTATGGCTTTCCTGGGTACTTGATCACCTTTTGAAGCCACAAATTTTGATAGGTGACAGATTTTTTCTCCATTTATCTCTGAATATTGTTTTTTAGGCCGGAGTCACTTCGAAGAGAAATTTAAGTTTTGTTTGGGCCTTATGCTTATTTTAGAGGCATTATAGCGTACAGAGAGACTAATTCACGGTACTATTTGCTTACATTGCAGATGAATCAACAGTTGTACAGCACTCAAGAATTGAAAGAGATCGACAACATTGTAACTGTAATGGCAGACTACCATCTGACCTTCACCCCTACCGTCGTGAATTTTCAACCGCAGTACTTGTTTCAACCGTGAGTGTACTAGAAATACAAATTGTTCTTAATTTGATCTTGAGAGGATGGTAACAGATACTGTTATGAAAAGGGAAAAATCCTAAAATAGTTTTGTGCTTAATCATTTTAATATTGTTTCTAACATTTGCTTCAATGTTGACTTTCTAGTGAATCATGACCTTCAAATAATTCTTAATTGAAAGTTTTATTTTGACTTCCTCAGAATTCATTTGGTTTGTCTCCCGTATAAAAGACAGCCAACTTATGCATCAACGGTTCGCCTTCAATAAACGTTGCATCAAGTCGACTCCAACACATGGCGACCACGGCAGGATCTATCTGACTATACTTGTCGTCGCGACCATTCCTGTTACGCGAGCTATAAACGACTTGTCACTGCCGTTCGGCTTGGACACATCGCTGGCAAAATCGCGATTTTCCACCTATGTGTCCCCCCAGGAGCGCGCTATTCAAGTATTTGTGATGAAGAATATCAGTGAAGATACAGCCATCGGGACTGTATTAGATACATTCAAAGCGCATGACCCTTCGTTGCCGACGTTCAATTACACGTTCCGAATAAATCGCCAATCAGATCCGAAACGGCAGTTTACGATCGATCAGGATGGAACGCTGCGAGTCGCTCAACGTCTGGATCGTGAAGACATCAGTAGCTACAAGCTTATTATTGAGGCGTTTGACGCCGCCGGCAATGTTGGAACACAGTTGGTAGCCGTCTATTTACGAGATGTTAACGACAATGGTCCTGAACCGTATACGGTACCCAAATTTTGTGTGTTTCCGGAGAATACGCCAGTCAATCAGCAGGGCACGTGTGAGATTCGTTGCACAGACAAGGATTCACCAGAATTCGGACCGCCACTCAATATGCAACTCGATCAGAGTAAATGGAGATTTGGTGACTATTTGAGCGTGACATTCGATGCCCACGGTGATGGTGGTAATGGATCGATGACAATCCGTCCGTTGGTGGTATTCGATCGAGAGGCGGTTAATCCGGGTAAAATTCTCGAAATTCCGCTGATTCTCACCGATCGCGCGGATAAAACGAATCATGCATCCGTACATGTCATCATTGGAGACGAGAACGACAATCCGATGCACGATGGAAAAATGCAGATCACTGTGAACTCGTACCTTGGCAAATTGAAGAAGACTCAGATTGGTCGAGTGTATGTGGAAGATTTGGATGATTGGGATCTAGGGTGACAAGACGTTCACATGGAAGGAATCGTTGCCCGGTTTCGAGTTGTCACCAAAAGGAGAGATAACAATGGATGCCAACATGCCACCTGGTACCTATCATATGTCATCAAATGTGCACGATAATCTCCGAAATGAGAACGCTGTCGGATATGTGACCGTCAATGTTCTACTAGTACCGGAGGTCACGTTCGTGAACCAGGGATCGATGCAGTTGTTGCTTGGTGAAGATTCTAGCTTGCAAACCCCTGAAGATTTCATTCGAGTGAATGCCAGTGGCAAGAGTATCCAGGACATCTTTACACAAGAAATGGTGAAATATATGGGTGGCAACGTTTTGCTGGATGTCTTCTCGGTTCAGTACCACACGGAACAATCTCCGATTTAATATTTCACTTCACAACGCCAACTATCCAAATCAACTGTTCGGTAAAATGCCCAGCCAGCCAATCGCAAATACAACTCCAAGGAACTTTGGACTACGTCAACGAGCCTCTCTTCCAAACACTGGTTCAACAAGTACATGTGCACCGAGCAGAGTCATCTGGTTTGAAATCGCTGATATCACTGATGCTATTTTCAGCCATTTTCGACACCTCTCAGATTTCTTACAGAATTGGAAAACCATAGTCATTGTCATACTTTTTATAGTAATCACTCTTAAACTTCTTCATGTATTACGCTCACGTACAATAAGTGCAACTTTTGTGAAAAAGAGACGCTAGCATTCTTTTCCAGGTCGGGAGTGTTATGAAAAGGGAAAAATCCTAAAATAGTCATTTAATATTGTTTCTAACATTTGCTTCAATGTTGACTTTCTAAGTGAATCATGACCTTCAAATAATTCTTAATTGAAAGTTTTATTTTGACTTCCACAGAATTCATTTGGTTTGTTCCCCGTATAAAAGGCAGCCAACTTATGCATCAACGGTTCGCCTTCAATAAACGTTGCATCAAGTCGACTCCAACACAGTACCTGAGGAACATGAATGTCGTCTTGCTGACTTTCAGTCGCGAACATTAACTACGTTTTCCTACTGAACACCATTTTCATTCATGTATTTTCCATTAATGGTAAGCTGCGTTTGTACTCGAATTAGTTTGTGAATGCTTTATTTCAACATAATTTTTCTGCGCTGAACAGAAGTCACATTAACTTCATTAGAATGAAATTACGCCCCTCCTTGTCTCTTCGAAATTGGATGTGACCAGCATTATTCTGGAAAACAAATAATATTATGCATCAGCTAGCGTAGTACAGTTTTTGTGCTTCATAGTTGCTTTCTATTATTTTTTCTTTGGAAAAGCAGTTTTATAAGGAATCCTGACATGTGAATGCATAAGCCCATAGCGAAGCAAATTCTTTCGCAAATCAATGTGGGGCACAATACATAAACTATGCATGATGTGTCAAACGAGCCGAGCGTTTATCGTATGTTGTGAACTGTGAAGTTCAAAAAGGCATTTTTAGAATGCTGTAAATCATTACTTTTGCATATATTTCCTTCATTGCATTCAGTTTAATTTCAGTCCGATCGACGTTCTTACAATGTTTCCCATATCGGATGAGAGTTCACGAAATTTACTTTCGAACTCAACGCGGCAGATGATCGCACAGAAGGTCAATACGATTTAATTTCGTTTTTGGTTTCCTTTTTTTTCAACACTTTGACCCCTGCTAGCATACGACATGTGCCAGTGCCGTATATTTTCTACTTGAAGTCAAAATTAGAAGATCAGTCATTTCAGATAGTCTTCTTTCCATGCCACTGGGAAACGGATCGAATGAGAATTCGGCACCGAAAAGTAATACAGCACAAATCAAACAAATGGTTGCTGACTCTTCGAAATCGGAATCATCAGAGAAGGCACCTTGGCGTCCGATTCTCTACAAATTCAATACGGGTTGTAGTACGGCTGTAAAACGTTCAATTCGAATGCATCAACTATTGAACTAGATCTTTTAAAATCCAGTGACCTACATTCCTCTCTGTGACGTCGTTTGCCCTCACGCTTTATTTCTCATTTGTCCCTTTTTATTGGTCTGCGAAGCTAGTTTAGGTTTTTAACCACTGCACCTATGTGCTTTTGCAACTTTACTATGATACTGTTTTGCTCATAAAACAAATAGATAGCTAAAATCAAGAGCAGTGCCCCAAACATCTTTGTATGATCACATCCAAATTCAAGTTTTCGTTAAATTTTGTATTGGTATCCGTAATATGTGAAGGTTTGGTGTAACATTAAATTGTTGCTTATAATTAAACCTCTTAATTTAAATTACTTCAAATTTCTCCGCTCGACAAAAATCGTCCATCTTCTGAATTGAGTTCAAGGGCGGAGTTGACGATACAAGACAACCCACTAGAATTCGAGGTAAAGTGGACAGTGATGCAGTGATGAAGAAGAAGCGAAGAAAAACGGCCTGGAACTGGCGAAAAGGGCGGCAGTACTGTCCATTGAATTGGACGTTAGGCTTGTCCCAGTGACTCATCAAGCCTAACTTCTCTTCTGAGTGCTAGAATTAGACGGCGAGAGAGTGGGCGGGTTGCGGGCGAATAGGCTGGCTCGACTGTTGAGCGTACACTGCGCTGCGAAACACTCACTCTTCCTAAGGGGGCCGCCTGCTCTACCAGCTTAGTATTTTTTCCACTGTCTTTGACATCGACCTCTACCGTGGAATGACGCCTTCAAAGAAGTGGTCGCGCTAGGCTCAGAGGGATAAGGGTTTTACAGGCAGCTGACGTAAACGGGTCGATAAGAGTTAAGACATAAAGTTGTTGGGCGAACCTAACCTCATGGAAAATACTATAATAAGACAAGGAGATACGGTGCTCAGTATGAGGTGCAGTCTATAATAAAAATCGGACTGTAATGATACCGATATCATACACGCTACTGTTTTACCTTTCCACAAATGGCGTGCAAGGGCTTTGGAAGGTTAAGCTCCTCTGAGGCGCCTTATCACGCAATTATAATAGGTCCTTCCTGTATGCTCCCACTGGATTTATCGCAACTATTTCCCTTAATTCCAGGTTTGAACGGGGTGGTATTCCAATAAGGTTGTGTTCGGGCCGCTTACAGGTTCTAGTTTCGTGAAGAGGAAATTCCCGTGATGCGTGAACCTCGTTCGGTTCCGCTTTTACACTCGTCTTGGAGCTTCTTCTTCACTAAAAATTGGTAATGGTGTTGTACTGAGAGTTGTATGATATGCCCACCTACCCCTTTTACAAGAACAGACCTCAAGGGTGAGGGAAAATGAATTAGAGCGCGACGACGCAGTTGGCCCGGGAAGGAGACTGCCTAAGCCTAGGTAGCTTTCATATTCTGCTATCGCATACTCCTCGCGTGTGGTCCAGATCATGCAACTCTACCCTGAACAATTCCTCATTCGCCACTCATTCCTCTTTCCCAGAATCTTTTTTTTCGTTTTCAAATCCCATTCCCTGGAGATGCTTCATTCGTTGTACCACTCCAGTATAGCTTTAGCTGAAAGATAAAAGAAATCTTGGCTGTTTTGAGGACCTCTCTCTTGCGCGACGCCAATTTCGGACAGTTTTCGGTAGAGTTGAAGTGTGTCAGGTGATGGCAGATTCAAGAGCGCTATCGACACCATTGACCGTTAGAGGGCTCATATGCTAACTGCAGCGTTTTGTCCAGGATCGACTTTCTTTTAATCTCGGCACAAGTGTATCAGATGGATACTTCATTGTAGCCGTCCAAGATTAGGTAATTTTATTAGGCTAACTTTCCGGCCAGGTGAAAGTCGGTCCTATAAGGTTACTTAATTTTGGGCGTTTTGTTATATGCTGAAAGCATCTTCGCTATCATGTGCGCTAATTTACTGAAAACATTCGCAAGTGGTGGATTTTTGGAAGGTCTTTTGAAAGATGGGGCGGAAGTGGTGTAGTGGCAAGTGGCACGCTTACCACGCGAGCGGTCCGGGGATCAAATCCTGGGTCGTGAGTCGCCCGGGCCAACCAAGCCTTCCATCCCTCCGGGGTCGGTTAATTGGTACCAGACTTGTCTGGGAGGATAAAAACACTGACTTGTACATCGGCTGGCCCCCGCAAGTCATTGTATAGGCCACATCGCATTCAAACGCCACTACGAATGTACAAATGGAAGTAGAATGCGTGCCGCATCCCAAAAAGGGATTGATCAACGGCAAATGCTTTATCCTTTATCCTTTTAACTTCGTGATGATTTATACCTATAATCTGATAATTTATAATCTATACAACTACTAAAGATTTCGTGAGTGTACTCGGTATTGCGCGAATGTTGGCGAAATAGTAAGAGTTTTCCTGCTCCATGTATAACTAGAGGCAGAAACTATTGCAAATCTCTTCAGTTCAGTCAAGCCTGTGTTGGAAGGTTGGTGGCAAACTCAGCTAATATATGAAAACCCGACTTATACATTGGTTGACCGTGCATATCACGTATAAGTAGTTAGAGTTGGTGTCCGGAGCCCTACTTCCATGTTACATGAGCTTGCAGTGTTGGCGGATATTGCCCTTCCGCTCCCTGTTCTAACAGTTCCCATTCTTCTGCGCCCTATTCGGTTGCGTTGTAGATACTTATCGGAGATATATGCTTCTCAATTGTAATGTTTTGTTCCTGGAGTTTGATTTCCGATAATAAATACAAATATCAAACTGTCGATATAAGCCAAATGAATCCATAAGGATGTGTATACTTTTGTAAATGGAAGTAGAGTGCGTGGCACATCCCGAAGAAGGTGCCGCACCCCCTATACATACAGGATCGAACAATTTCCGAAATACAAATTTCTTTACAAAATCAAAAACTCCATGGGCAGGTGCATGTAAGTAAATTATGTAACGATTGAACGGGGTCCTTGAAAAGATCTCCATTCTGGCAGAGTTCGGTGACCTCGTCCAACCGCTGAAATTCAACGAAACAAAGGGAAATTTTTGGCCTGTCCTGCCATCCTAAAGGAAAACATTTCAACTTTACCTTGCCATGATTGTAAAAGGGCATGAAGGAAGTACTTTGGCCGTCGTGGTTATTCACCTGAGAAATGATCAAAAGAGTTCTTGCTAAAGCCGGCGTTGAATGGTGAGGAACGCAGTTAAAGGCTTGCCATGAAAACAACGAACTCGCTGTAACAACTCGTCTAACCTTTTCAAAATCGGTCGCTCTTCCTCTCGGCATTCGTAGTCGTCTGGACAGATATCCAGCTCATTGCTTGCGGATCGCACAGTAGAGGCATCGGTGACGGTTTTCCGGACGAACAAACTAGGAAAAGCCACATTCTTCTTCCTTCTTTCATGCCCTATTTCATAGTAAGAGTTAAGTAGTAAGAGTTCAATTTCTATCTTGTTTATGTCCCCGGATCTATCGTTCTTATTAGATTGTAAGTAGTATTTGTGGGGCATTGAAGGGCAGTTTGTGTGCCAACATTTTTCCGTTTGTGGAGGTTGCACTGTTCGGCACAAATTGACTCGAACCTTTGTCCTCTAGAATTCTTACTAGCGGACTTGGAGGCGTGGGCGATCATGTGGAGGTACAAGAAAGGTAAATATGCTTATTATAAAAAAGCTAGTTCCGTGAGCAGATAGAAAAATAACGCGTTCTGGGTGAAATGCACGCGTTTCGGTTAAAGGGCTCATTCGCAGGCAACTCCCACATTCCTGGTTCGCCCCGCCCCAGTCGTCTGTATGATAAGATGAGCGTGTTTGTTGCTATCATCAATATAGTTCGCTTTTCATTCAGAGTTTTCATGACTGTGATCCAGAGCGAACTCGTTTCGGCTGTTTATATTTTTAATATGTTGTTTTTATATTTATAAACCCCGTCCTTGAGTGTACTACCCTAGACAGAAGTTGTGTGAATGATTCCCTTAGGCCTATAGGAAAGACCCCTATAGGACAACCACAGATGTGGCACGTTCCTGTGCATGGAAATTACCATACAAGGGCACTAAAGCCTTGCAAAGTTAGCTGCAGCAGCAGCAGGCTGTTGTTTGGCGCCCTCTCATCTGTCGCGCTCTCTCGCCTCATACTCTCCTCTCGCGCTCAGTCTCTCATTCCTTAGCACAGCCGATTAGGAAGGTGAGTGAGCCCTTAACCTAAGCGTTTTCGACGGATTCTTTTCCTTTTTTCTTCACTGCCGGCCCATTTCGCACCGATACATTCACATTCGTGTGCAAGAGCCACACCAGTGCGATCCTGGGGCATGCCTTTAATGCTGTCACTAGAAAAAGCCTCTTCTCGCATGTTCTGATCGTTTCACCTTGTTCTTTCAGTGTGAGACTCATATTGAGATCTACTTCAATTTATGATGGACAACGAAATTAACGTATTCACTATCTCTAACTAATCTCTTCATCCAGAGAGGTACTGGAATGAAGCCCATCCATCTATAATTGAATTAATCAGATCCATATGCCATTTGAAACATATCCCATGGTAGTTCTACGTTTAGTAGCGTCATTTCAAAGCAGTACAGCTAGAATATTCCCACCGTAACCTTGACTCTCAATGCGCTCACATTGTACATTATGTTGGTACATTTTTGCACTACTGGGTGAAATGGCGGAGGAACTGAGCATCTCTATTTCCTTGGCCAGTTGGATGCTATCAGTATCGCCTGAGAAGATATAGATACTCAATGGCTGGCCTTTAATATATAGATACTCAATGGCTGACCTTTAATAATGTTAAAACCACCTTAATGAATCCGACGCAAAGTTGAAGGCAACAATCTCAATAGGACCGCTCAATTAGGCATTTATAGTACTTTTTTAACCAGGTTTACAGAGAAAAAAGGATTATATGATCTACGATCCGAAGGTCTTCGTTAATCACAGGAATACTAACCCGGCTGAACGCTGCCTTTCTTCGGTTCACAACAGACTCTTTGCATTTGATTGATACTGTAGACGCAAGCGCCACCAAGGCAATCGCTTGCTGATTTGCAGGAATTGGCTGCATCCAGGAATGGTAAGTAGCAGTCAGGTACTGAATTATTACGATGACGAGTACCTTTTGAGAAGTAAATAAATTCTTATCTAAGCTAAAAATGAGGTTCAAAATTGAAAAGTGTCGAAGTCTAGGAGTTTCAAAACGAAGGGTAATGCCCAGTATTGGCAACGGGTAATGAATGAATAAACGATGCTTACCCGCGACAGCGGCTGAAAATAAAGCCACAATGAAGGTAGCTCTCATGGCTGGAATCAGATTCAAGCCGCGTGCGAGCTTTTATAGCCATTTCGGAGCCATTGTGCCTGCCCTCGGTTGCTTGTTGGTTTTTTGTCCGACCCGCGGCATATCGAAATTTCGGCATTTTCTTCCCGTTGCCGCTCACCGCCATTCAAAACGTGAAGCTGTTGAATGGCCCGCAGTGGAGTTATGAGTTCACGGCTATTCTTATCGCAACCAGTATCATTGATCACACGGCATTCGGGATATTTTTGAGAATCCTGACTATTTTTAGCAAGTCGTAGTCATAATATGAGTTTTTGTTATGCCAATGTTGCTTTCACATTTTGAGTTGGTTGGGTATTGCGAGATGTCCGCAAAGTAGGAGGCCACCCTTGTCATTTCCAAGGTTCTAAATAAGCCTAGACTACTATTAGCTTAGAAAATTGGCCAAAATTACTACTTAGAACAACCACTTCCATTATTTGGCTCTAATCATCATGCAAGAGGTGGTCTGGTAGCTGGAGGGGCAGCTACGATGCAGAAGTTCGAGGATCTCGTCTCACCTCCCGTAGTCATCGCCTAGAAGACATCAGTCTAGGCGCCAACGCACGCATACCCTTCAGCAGAGTGTTTTTCATGTTTGTTCTTCTAGTTTTTGAAGAGAAATTTTCTCAAAAAATTAGAGAAAAGCACTCAAAGTCACTCGCAGCACCATGTGGATGCAGAGTCACAGATGGGTGTAGGTATTGCGTCAAAGATATGATTTCACGGCTGCCGGAGTGTCATATGTGTGATAGAATTAAGGTGCAACATTGAAGCCATACCGACAGTTTATCGCTGAAAGCTATCCTCTGAAGAGGACGAGGCTCAGAATTTGTATGTATCGCGGTATTAGGTGGTGGAGTGGTCATCACTGTCCTAGCAACTTTTTTATGAATTTCAGTCACATGCGATACATGGTTAGGCCGATGTCATAGTTTGCGAATCGAGCGATTCGCTAGCGAATCGCTGGATCCGAGCGTTGCGCCAGCGAATCGAACGTTGCACCAGCGAATCGAACTTTGATGTACCAGCGAGTCGAACTAGTAGCGTAAAAAGTGATCGCCGAAACGCTTTCCATGCTTCTCTTTTTTCTGCCACAAAAAATCAGTAGTGCAGGCTTAGGAATAATAAAATAGAGAAGCACAGTATGTTCATCTTTGGAGGGCGCTCTAGAGTGAGAAATATATGCCTAAAAATCGGTTTTCTGAACGCCTTTTGGACGGCCGCTCTCTTCTGTTTTTTGCGTGCTGCTCCAGTGTGTGGCACGATCGAGCTTGTACCAGCGAGCTCAGCAGTGTTTTGAAAAGTGGCGGAACAACCCGTTTTTAAAGGAAGGCCGCCACTTTCAAACAGTGTGATCCATTAAAGTGGACTTTCTTCTGTCATCGTTCGATTCGCTGGTGCATCGGTCGATTCGCTAGCGTTAAGTTTGATTCGCTGGCGCAACGCTCGGATCCAGCGATTCGCAATCTATGACATTGGCCTAACGCGGAAGTGTCGCCAACTCAAGGGAGTCACATGTTTGTCTTTGCCTTTTAACCCCCCCCCCTCCCACCAACCTTCGATTATGGTGGTATAGTGTGTGAGCCTTGAAATACATATCTGCAAACTTCATCTCTGCATGTCTTCCAGTAATTTGACGGCAGACCCTATTCCGCCAATCACTACGATCCCTTATCTCATGCGCAACCATTAAGAGAAGATGAGACTAGGCCAGGTGGTGCAAATTGAAAGCATATTCATGATCAATATGAGAACTAGAGCGCGACGTGATAACCTGGAAGAAACAGGTAGAGTACGGTCAATAGACAACGCTAAAGTTGGACGCTCACTTTGTGTTAATGTTCGGATGAGTTCATTGGCGTAAGAATATGTTTTTGTTAATAGTTGATTGGTGAGGAGGAAGGATAAAGTAAGTGAGTAACACCCCTCCCTACCCCCCCATCGAGGACGAAGCTTAATTTGCTGGACGCTTCTGTTGAGCGTCATAACAAGTAGAAATATTGCTCTTGTCAGATGTAAGAGCAATGAAGAAGCGCATTTAGAAGATCGGCACAAGCTATGAGAAGGTTAGGTTTCTTCAACTATAATTTATCTGTGTCCTTAGTGTTTTTAACAAAGTTGCCGGCCACGGGTACATACACCGCCCGCACTTAACCGAAATCTTGATTCCGATAAGTGGAATAAGCAGTGAGTATTAACGTATACATATTACTGTTTGAAGCTATTCTTTGTCGGTATTGTATGTGTGTTGAAGTAAAGTTCGAGGTTTCCGAACTTCTTGGACACCTCGGCCTTATCTAACATAAGCGAGTCGCGATGACAATAACAGGTTTTTGGTAAACAAAAAACAGTAACAAGCATTGCTGGGCATTGTTCCTATGCATCATGTGGGCAAATAGCATACGAAACATGAAGGACCTACGTAGCGTCACTGAAGTGCCTGCTTTGGCGAGGAAATTATGAAATTAATTGACGCCCGTTATTGTGTGTGAGCAGACCCTTTTCAATTCACATGTAAGACAGAACGAATCAAAACAGGAGTGAAAAGAATCTGTGTCTTCGCTCCCTCTTTCTGTTGTGGTTTTGACTAGTAGAGGATAAGAATTCACCGAAAGACATACTAAATAGGAATTGTTGATTGAGCTGAGACCAATTGTGCGTAGTATGAGTCTAATGGCATTGTCTACGTATCTGTATTAAGAATGATTCGGCTCAGAATTTCTTTAGCAAAGAATGATTCATCTCCCCCCCCCACCCCAAGACTTAGTTAACCACGCTTGAAGCCACTTGATCAGGGTTAAGCACTAAGAGGAAGTACTCCAAGGTGGTGCAGTGGGGTGCTAAAAGGCGAAGGAGGCGCGCCTGTCGCGACTGAAAAGTGGCGGGCGACAAGAGCACTGCGCGACAAGCAGTAACATAAGGTCTTGCTAAATGTGGCTGCCATGCTGGGAGATTTTCTAGCAGCACGGTTGCGGTTGCGGCAGCATCGTCAGCGATTGTGTCAGCAGCGTGGACATAGTTGGTTTGTGTCACTGTAGGCGTAATGCTGAAGCAGCAGCATAGTGCCCAAGTTTCTTTACGTTCAGTCCATACACTACATATATTTTTGTGATGGTTCTTCTATCACTTTGGGTAGGTGCTATGTGAGTCGGATGGACACACCGATTGGGTAATTGATGTTATTTTCCCCGAAGTTCTTTCTTAACTTGAATTGGAGACCCCGAATGCACATTATCGCGAAGGTTTGTAATGCAAGCTTAGATATTTTCTCATAGCTGAAGTTTGGCAATGTCTCTCTATAAAAAGTGGTTACTGAGTGCTGCTCGACTTCCCTTGTATTAGTGTCGAACTTTTGTGTAGTTTGAAACTATGGTTGAATTTGCATGCTTTCGGCATGTCACTCTCTATGGCCTTTTGCGTATAAGCGGCAGCGAGGGAATGATCAAGGCTGTGCCAGTACTTTATAACATTACGTATTGGACGGTATCGACTCTGACTTACTTGTACAGGGAGTAGAAGCATAACTAAGAATGGAATAATTAGAACCAACTTAGAATTATTCGCGCACTTCTCAAGACTTACACCCAAATCCGTTGATTCTTTCAACATTTGCAAACTAATTTTAATTGTAAATAATACGAAGGGCGGAAGTGGTGTAGTGACAAGTGGCGCTCACCACGCGAGCGGTCCGGGATCAAATCCTGGGTCGTGAGTCGCCCGGGCCAACCAAGCCTTCCATCCCTCCGGGGTCGGTTAATTGGTACCAGACTTGTCTGGGAGGATAAAAACACTGACTTGAACATCGGCTGGCCCCCGCAAGTCATTGTATAGGCCATCGCATTCAAACGCCACTACGAATGTACAAATGGAAGTAGAATGCGTGCCGCATCCCAAAAAGGGATTGATCAACGGCAAATGCTTTATCCTTTATCCTTTATTTGGAAATTTAAATATGCGTAACAAATCACTTCGTTCATGGCACTATTTACTGCATTGGTTGGTGAGGTGCCAGCAACCTATCAAGCTATCTAAGCGGAGTTTCAGCGACGCCTTCTGCCTCGTGCTCCCAATGACGGACACTGTTGGCCGGAAACTGTGACGTCATCTGGCACGCGCTGGTCCGCGGCGCCAGTGACCTTTTTATCTCCCATCGGGAAGCACAGTGAAGTACTGCATGTGGATTGAAGTCACCTGCCTTTGTTCTTTCACTAAAGTTAAGGATGCATAGCTTAGGTTGAAATGTGCGTAGGAAATAAAAGAGTTGAGACTCAAGGATATACTGAAGAATATACTACGCAGAAAAGAAAATAGTAGAAATAGTTTTTTGTGATTCAATACTGCTTCGTCAGAATTTGCCTACAAATCTTTCAGAACTGAAGAAAACGAAGACACTGTTTGGGAGAATGCATTAAGCCTTGGACAAGGCTGGAATGGTGATATCTGAGAGACACATGTGAAACTGTCAGCTTACCTCCTGTTCGTGTTTCAACATTTTTGTCGGGCTGCCCCATATTTCGCATATCGTAGGAGAGCGCGTTTGTCAGCTTCCTTTTTCCTTTCTGGTCTTATAACAATGGAACGAGCATCATCACCTTATAATAGTCATCTTCATCTGCAGATCAAGAGCAAATCAACTTGATCTGCAGCGCAATGATCTAGCAGAGGAACGATGGGAAAGCTGTGATCTCGGTAGACCTAGGTAAGGGCAGATTTTTTGTGGAGGGGGGGGGGGGGGGGGGGGGGGGGGGGGGGGGGGGGGGGGGGGGATTTTTTATTATCGTTTGATTAATTGACTTTCTTTAACGCACTATAGGAGATTGGTGTAGTGGGCATGTGGTTATATTACCAGCGCGCCCATCTCTACGGCGACGCTGCTTGCGCGTATACTAATACCAACTTTTGCTTGCAATGTAGCGCAGGGGAAATAAGCGAAAATCAAGTTGATATAGTCATTAACTATGTTCCTCTTTCAGTATAATAAGCTTGTTGAAGGTTGCCTGCTTCTTTGGAGAACTGGAACCAGATGGAAGAGCTTATCCGTTGAAGGTAATCATTTGCAGCAATAAGCTGTTAGTTCCTTTTGTTTTCATGGCATTGGTCTTTCTTTGTTGCACATTTCTTTTGTAGGGTGGTCTCTTTTTTGTTGCACATTTCTTTTGTAGGGTGCTGTAATATGCCTTTTCGAGGAAGAGCATATAAACGATCAAAATACAGTAGATGAGAGTAGAGATCTTCTTGATGTATGAGGGTTCCCATTTTCGGCGCAGAAATTTGCCGTTTTTTTCAAGAGCCCGGTGTTTTGCGTTGGGTACGATTCTGGATATTATTCGTAATACGCGTACTGGAGCAGAGTGCCGCAACAGACTAGTGAAGCGAAAAGGTAGAGGAAACCAACGCCACGCATCTTACCACAATCGAGCGCGTTCCATCTGTGGTGTGGTGCTTTTCGCAGTTCTTTCTTTTCCATAGCGTTGAAGTTGTGACTTTCATGGGACCACTTTGCGGTTTTGACGACAATTCCTTTTTCAGATTGATTGGACTGTATTTGTTTGACATTCACCTTATTTCATCAAGACCATGCAATTTTTTTAAAACGATTGCTCAATGCAGACATGCATGCATCCAAATGCAATAGACTCAAAATCCGGTATCACTCAAATTCCTACGTCAAGCGATTTTTGGCGAATCGAGAACTTACGAATTCAATTCTGTTGCATTTTGGAGATCCCATCGAGATACTGATCATTCTTTGGAATCAAGCGTTTTATTCGCTAAAATTTATTTAACTGTCCCTGATTATCTTGCTGATGTTTTTAAGCCCGATTGAGTCCTTATGCAGAAATATGATTTTTTCCAGCTGGAACCATTATTTGAACGAGTGATAATGGAGGAGTTTTTACTTCGTGATGTTGTTGGAATAAATCTTGACGCTGTTCCTATTTTTTGCCATGAATTTTACCTTTGATCGAGAAGTGTAATCAATAAAGCAGTCTTGAGGATTCATAGAATTTTGCAAAAAAAATGCGAGCGACATTGAATATGGAAATGAGGGTCCCAGGAGCCTAAAACAGCACGAGTGAACAAGCGACATGTGCATAGTGGTATGTTAGGAAGTTGAGATGTGCACTCTAGGGTGCAAACTTTTATTTCCAAGAAATACGAAGGGATTGACTGGAAGAGATCAAGGAATGAAGGTGGCAATCAATGGACGAACCATTTTAGCTACGTTTTCCATCAGCAGCAGACAATGCCGCAGTTATCTCTTCTAACATTCCAACAAGCCGTAATTATTTACGTTGTGAGTGTAGGCGTAACATTAGTAAGTTAAGCTTTTCACAGGAACATGGAGAACAGAAGAGGAGGAGTAACCCTAAAAGAGTGGGAGGTTCCACAAGCGTGACATTCTCCATATTAAAGGACGAGTCCACGATTAGAACAGTAGGCGAAAAAGATGTGATTCATGCTGAAGAGCTGCAGCTTAGAGCTGTGAGGACTGCAGCTGTTATTTGCTCCGTGTGCGGAAACTGCAGTGTCGGATACCCACTCGTGAAAAGGTGGAAGGGCCAGGACCGAGCCATTGCACATCCACGGGAACCAAGTTCAAAGAGAATAGTTGCAGCGCTTTCGGCGATAACTACGGGTTTACGGTACATGGTCAGTGGTAAATGTTATTTCTACACGAGATATTTCAACACGAGATGTGTTTGTTATTTGCTG